ACTCTCGACTTCAGAAAGTGAAAGGCAATACTCTCCAATGATCCAAAGTGAACAGGAACAAACTCTCGCAGCTCGGATCTGATAAAATGTATCCAAAAGTCTGGTTACGATGGAAACTCTTAATTTTGGGTTGGTTTCAATTATCTCTCGCACAAAAATGACAACATCCATAGCAGAAGCTACATTGTTGTCTCCCAAGAAATCCATCAATAAATGGACCACTGTGCTTGCGACTTCAGGGAATTTTATCGCACAAGAATGGATGGCTTGAATAAGCATTTGGCGGTACTCTCCATTCTTCTCAAGCTCCCCGCTTTGAGTTTTCATAACTTCCTTCTTCAAAGTAAGAACCACCTCATTCACATTTCGAGGTGTGATCAGTTCGAGAACAATATCAAGAGTTTTCCTTTGGATATCAAGGTTTGGGCTAGATAGTGCCCTCAATACATCCATGATCATGTCAACTAAAATATCTTTGTGGGAAGACTTAAGTTCATTCAGACGATCAAGCACAATTAACTTAACATTATTGTCGCTCTGAGAGAGAAGAAGCTGGCAATATGTACTAGCTGCAGCTCTAATAGCCGTAGGAGCAGAAGACAAAGAAACAAGGGTTCCGGCACATTCATAGACAACAGTAGCTGAAGGAGCATTCAGGAGCGATATAATTATCTTGATATATTTACCTTTTTCTCCTTTGTTCGTCCTACAAACTTTCCGGATTAACTCCAAGACAACCATCTGCATTAATTCCCCCCAGTCAGGTACTCTGTCAACGTTGGTCAAAAGGTAATTGATAGCACGATCCTGAGCACAATTGAAAAGCATTAGAAATGCATTCCTCTTAGCTGATGGATCCTGTTCTGTCGAAAGAAACCTCTCAATGGTCTCCGGTGCATCAACCAAAAGATGCTCACCTTGAGGGAGCTTGTAAATCGACATCACAGCAAGAATTGCATTTTTCCTAACATAAGGGTGTCGATGCTCCAAGTTAGACATAATGGAGGGTATCAAAGGCTCAATGATCTCCACCTCATTCAGCCGACAAAGGAACCTCAGTGTGACACCTCGGATATATTCGTTCGGGTGCTGAAGATTATTCCTTAGATTCTGGCAAATCAAGATCATTTCGGGCAATACGCGACCTTTGCCATCAGTCTTGTCTATGATCTCCAAGTATAACAACAGCAATTTCTGAACAGTGTGGTCTTCAGAGGGTAACACATATCTAACTATAGTAATGAAGAGCTGAGGGAGGGTTTCACCATTCAGCAGAAGCATTATTGCATTTTTCATGGCATCAATCTTAGCAGGAACATCATTTCCTTCTAGTGCCTCCTTAATCTCATTGGCAAGAGCTGGAGTGCCGTTGTCAAAGTGTACCAGCAAAGAGCATGATTTCTCCATTTTAACTTGTTACCTAGTCATGTGGAGAACACAAAATATTTAATCAATACAGACCAAAAGAATTCTGAAAAAACTACTATAATGGAGTGATTGAAAAGTATGGTGATGTTCCACCTAGTTCATCAGTTGATCTGAATTCACATCATACAATGACAAAAAAAGAGCTAAAATTATGATGTGAGCTAAAATGTCATTTTCCAATATGGTAATTCCTTGTATGATTACTCAAGTAAAGTCTGACATAGTTAGCATTTTAAGATAAATAATGTAGCAAAACGTAGAAACAAAATGTGGAATTTTTAGGTATATTTAAAACATTAAAGAAATATAGTCCTTAATAAAAATTCAGTTCATAGAACAGAAAAGGATTCGGCAATATAATGTAATATTCCTAGTTCTCATTCGAGCAAAAATTAATATTATTCTGCAATACAAATCTTTATTCTAAATTCTAAATTCAAAAAAAAAAAGTTCGATTACATAAACGAAAATAATTCAATAAGTCCATAGCAAGCTAAAAATCAGACCGACCTCAAACCATAACATGCATATAGATTCTGAACCAAAAAAAAACTATCATTCTCATTATACAGATCCATAAATCTTAATATCTACATCAACATATAAACAAACAATAAAATCCACCAAAATAAATCAAAGGTGCGGAACGATCGAGATCATAAATTCAAAAGAATAGCAATCAAGGACATCCAATCCAAGCATTCAATGTGAAATTGTTAGATGTAACTCATGGACTACATAAAATGGATAAGTTTTTGGCATATCAGATCTGAAATGAAACCTAGGACTGTAGCAAATCGAAAAACGAAATAAGAAAAAAAAATGCAAAATTACCTGAGAAATTGGAGTCGATTTAGAGATAGGAAGAACGGATTTTGTTTCCTTAGTTTCTGTATGTGCAAATTTTCACCAGCAGAGTTGGATCATGGGAGCGATCACTGATCGCTGCTATAGTGCTATATGGG